CGCACTAGGATTAGGGGCTGGACCATAGTTTCTTCCTTTGGAGCTGGAAATTGGGGAGGGGAAGAAATGAGGGAGTGCATCTGCACATACACCACTAGGTGCGCACTAGTATCCGTTACACACTGGACCTGTTAAACGATGATAATAAGTCGGAGTGTGGTGGTTCACAGCTTTGGCTTACTAGCTCCCTCCCTCTCAGCAAATTCAGCACAGCAATGACAATACCCTCAACTTTAACACTGTCTCCTTCCTTCCTCAGAGTTCCACTGAACTGAAAATGGTCATCATTTCTGTAGTCTATTCTGTGTCCAATATTCACACAGGTCAGAATTGTGATACTGGGTTGTGACCACAGGAAATGAGGTATGACCTGGAGCTTGTAACAACCCCATCAACGGTTTGGATAAGCAGGATGGGACTCGGCCTTGATGCCCTTCCTGTCTTCTCTGTCCTGTGTCGTTTGCCCTTCTCTGACTCTGGCAGTCTCAAGTGGTCAGTTAAGACAACGACAGATGACAAAAGACAATCCAACCAGTCCTGCCACCAAGGCCTGACTGGTTGACCTTAGAAGTATCATGAGACACCATGGTTTGTCTGAAAGACAAGAAGAAAAAAGAAAAGGAGGATGGAGCTGCCAGACAGGGAGGTGGGAAACAAAAATACAAGAGCAGGGAAATAGAAAGCAGGAAAATGAAGAGCAGACAAGACACAGAGGGGAGATGGGCAGGATGAAAGATAGGTCAATGTACAACAGGCTGATGAAATAGAGCAAGAAAGACAGAGGAAGAAAGGAGGGGAACAGGAGCTCAAACAACAGTCAGGAAACAAAAAAAGGAGACACACGAAAGGAATAGAAGACAAATTAAGCAGAGGGCAGAGAGGGACACCAAGAGATGGGGGTAGCCCAAAGAATAAAAAAAATGTCAGACTCAATTCGTCTCTCAAAAGAGGGGAGAATTAAGGAGGAAGAATAAAGCCTTGCTCCTCACCATCTCAGCGCTCCTAAAAACCTGCACAGACTTAAAAAGACCAATATGTAGAAAGGAACAAAACACCAGGGGGGTTACATCAAGCGCTTCACCACATTCAAAAAGAGCCACAGAGGAAGAATAACTGACACAATTAAGAGCGTAACTGTCATCACAGCCAATCAACCCAGTGCCGCCCACACGCGGACACTGAGCAATAGACCCATCATGAAGGGCTGCTAATTCCCCCTGGCAATGCAACACTGACTACTAATAGTGAATACCAGATACCTTAAAGGCTTAAAGGCTACAGCATTCTAATGCAACAAAAACATGAGACACATGTACAAAATCGTTCCATCAAACCATGTTCCTGCTTCCTTTGCATTCTGAGAGAAAAGCTGACATTTAAATATAATCCTGCTGACACGCAAACTAAGCACAGCCAATTCCATAACCCATGTCTGCATCAGAAAAAAAGAATGATGTGTGAATCTAAAACCAATCACAGGTGGATGCATGCTCTCACTAAATAAAATACAAACTCAATTTAATGAGCTCTCAAGCTCCTCCACAGTGGCATTTCCTCTTCCATATCTCCATCTTTTTACAACTATCATTCACCCTACCTCCATTTTTCTTCCCCCCACTAGCCGCCTGCTTCCACTCGCGTCCCGTCGGCTTCAGGTTTTTCATTTCTATAAGATCCACCTTCTCTGCTCTTCCATCTTTTTCTCGCTCCATCCAAAACAACAGCCATTCCAGGAAGAGGGCCATCAATCTTCTTCAATGAGACCAGAGTGCGAGAGACTGCCAAGGCTACAGCAGATTACTATCTCTCCTTACCCTCACTCAACACTGGATAACGTATAGAAGCAGAGAATGGGCAGACAGAGAGGCAGGGAGGGTCGAGAGTGAGTCAAAGAAACAATCTTAGATAGCAGGTGGACGCATTAGATCTTAAAAGCCTCAAACCCCTGTCAACAGCGGAGGCTTGTCAGGTAAAGAAGAACCAGCAGCTGAATAAAAACCTAAAAACTCTAATCCTAACTGGCAACTCCAAACCTGACCCTTGATTTATTTCCACAGAGAGCTCCGCTAATGGAAAGGCATGAGCTACACTGCAGCTTTTATCTCCTGTAAATAGCTGGCTTTGATGAAGGACTGGAATTCAATGGTCATTATTAGAAATGTTTCATTGTCAAATAAATGATTATTTTTCAACTAATATATTAATCTGTTAATCTGCCAGCTCCAGCTCCAGGTCCAAGGTGAAATTGGAAAGGTTTAGTGCTTGTTAACCGATTATCAAAAAACTGCTACTCATTTATTACAACTGTTTAGAGCGATTTTACAGCATTCTTATCGAATTGATTTGAGCTAGTCAAATCTTGCTTACTGACATAAATAATTACTTCGATGATTCCGAGGCCCGATAGTTGTCCTTGCTAGAGATTTGGACCAGTACCAAGCGCAGAGTCTTGCTGCAGGGCCAGGTTTTGAGTCTGACCTGGGTCCCTGCGCGCGTCCTCTCTTCCCCTTTCTGTCATACATTACTTTATTAAAGGCATACTTAAACAATCATGTTCAGACTATTCACTAGTCCGTACTCGCCATTAAAATTTATGATATGGGTATTTTTTGAGTCGGCTTGTAAAGCTTGTTAAAATTGACACGAAACGTTAGTTCATTTCTAGCTTGGCTTGGAACTTTCCACTTATGTTTTTCACAGGATAGCTTCTCAAAAGGCTGGTCTGACTCATACATTTATTATAGGCTTGAGATTTGACATGATATCCGTGAATTTAACCAAGGAGATTTCATGGGAATTGATGTGATGCTATCAATCTCCAGAGGAGAGTCAGCACCGGTACTTTCGATTGCTCCTACTGGTCGGGTTAACAAGACTAAATCTCTCTCCTTCACAGCGATGTGAGCATTAGCTTTTTGGTCACATACGGCATTGCGACTG